TCCTTTCTGACTTTCGACCAACATCACTACTCTCTCATTCAGACAGAAGATCAAAAATGCATAATTACTTTGTAAATAGACATTTAACTTCCTGATGCATGCTCAATAATCCAGGTAGAAAAATCTAAAAAAGTTAAATCTGGTCCTCTGGACATTCAAAAAAACAAAACAAAGCAAAACAACAAAAAAATGTAGAAACGTTTTGTCTCTCGTCCAAGAGACTTCCTCAGTCTGAGGAGCTTTATTCAGCTCAGTCTCTTAAATAGCACCTTCTCAGAGTGGATCAACCAGTTTTGCTGCTGACAACCAAAACCAGCTGATCACATGCTCAAGAAGGACCATCAGCCTAACAATGGATCATTAGCACACTGATGGCTGTTTACTGTTCACAGAGAGCTGAGTGATACTAGCAATCACAGCATTGTAAGAGGGGGACAGTTGAACCCGGAGGCCTCCACCCCTGTTTAATGATGGACGGTTTCTTTTCACAAAGATGGCCTCCTTTACTCCTCTCTCAAACCATCGTTCCTCTCTATCCAGGATGTGAACATCTTCATCCCTGAAAGAGTGACCGCTGGCCTGGAGATGAGTGTAGACCGCAGAGTCCTGGCCTGATGATGTTGATTTTCTGTGCTGTGTTGTTTTGCTTTGTTTTGTTTTTTTGAATGTCCAGAGGACCAGATTTAACTTTTTTAGACACTTAACTTGATTTCTAATTTAAATGGGCATTAAAAAAATCATTAATACTGTTTCACAGTTGATTTAAAATGAGTGGTTCACTTCAACATTTAGAAATGGTATGAACTAAACACACGTTTGATTTATCAAGATATTGTAAAATAGTAATGATAATATAAAAGAAGAGTGTTCTGTCAATTGATTACTTCAGGATACAATTAGACAGTCTCTGGATGAGCTAATTTGTGTTTTTGGATTCAAATCAATGAAATAACAGTTCCTGTCCCATGAAGGTCCTCAGAGGCAGGTTTTGGTTGGAGGCGGAGTTCACTACAACTCCATAAAGGTGATGGAATACATCAGGAAAAATATTCCAGCGACAGGCGGCGAGGATGGAAGCAGATCAAAATAAACCACAGGACCGGCCTCTTTCAATCAACAACTTTTATTAAACTTTATTAAACTTGTGTTAGACTCAAATAGTTGGTTGTGGTCCTCTGGTGCTGGTATGTATAACATTTTATTTGTATTAGGGGGCAAATGCACAGTGTTAATGCTTTGAACTGATTGCCGTAAGTTTTGGTATACTATGTGCACACCCTATAATAGGAGCTTTGTACTTTTTCTTTTTTTTAGTAATTCCACTGTGTTAACAATCTGATTTGATAGCCATACACATTTGATATTTACAATTATATTTACATCTTTTTGTTGTTTATTTTGGTGCTTTGTAATTACTTTTATATCACACATGGGCAGACGGAGCAGCACGGTGGCGCAACTGGTAGAGCTGCTGCCTCTCAGCGAGCAGGTCCTTGGTTCAAACCCCGGTCCAGGGGCCTTTCTGGGTGGAGTTTGCATGTTCTCTCCGTGCACGCGTGGGTTTTCTCCGGGTGCTCCGGTTTCCTCCCACAGACCAAAAACATGCATGTTAGGCTGATTGGTAACTCTAAAATTGTCCCTAGTTGTGCTTGAGAAAGTGAATGGTTGTTTGTCTCGTTTGTCTCTGTGTGTCCCTGTGATGGACTTGCGACCTGTCCAGGGTGTACCCCGCCCCTCGCACAGTGATTGCTGGACATGGGCACCGGTGACCCCCGTGACCCAAAATGGAATAAACGGGTAAAGATAATGGATGGATGGGCAGACGGGAGCCCAGATGGTTGGAATGTGTTCTCTTGGTAAGCACTAATGTGTAGATTTTCAGTTGATAGTGTTTTTTGCTCTCTCTTTGTTTAGATAGGAGAGAGGGGTGGGTTTATACCAGATCAGTCGGTTTTTTTTTGGTTTTTTTTTAATACCAGCTTATTGGCCTGTGATATTCAGTATGTAATTTATTTCCTGATATTTAATTATGACCAACGTTAAGGACGTTGTCCACTCTAGTGGCTGCCTGGTTAATTGTGTGAGCTAGAATGTGAAATCCCTTAATGGTCCAGTAAAATTCCAGAAAATTATGTCACACCTAAAACAGCTTAATACTGATATTGCCTTTTTATAGGAGGCCCATGTGCATTCAGCAGATAGTGGAAAATTTTTTAAAGAATGGTCTGGTCAGGTGTTTAAGTTTAATTTCCAATCCAAATCAAGAGGGGTAGATATTATAGTTGGTAAACGGGTACAATTTACAGCCTCGAGTGTGCATGCTCATAATGCTGGGCGGTATGTGGAAGTGGTGGGGAAATTATAAATGCTGCCAGTGATCTTGGTTTCGTTATGTTAGATATTTTTATCTAGACTGGTCCTATGGTTTTGATATGCTCAGAGAAGGGATTATAATGAAATTATGACCCAGTTCTGACTGGGTTAAACTGGGCCAGCAACTCTAAAAAAAGAGTCTCCTAGGGATTCAATATCTGTCAAGGAATAGTTATCTGCTTGCTACATCACGTAGAAAGGCTTTTTGAAGTGCCGTCTCATATTTCCATACATGTCAGAACCACATAGGAACCATTGAGATCACATTTAGTCACACCCCCTCATACACTGACAGGTTGAGCTCCCCTTCTGCGAAGGAGGAGTTTAGGACCCTATAAATAAGTAATGACACAGGACATCGGGGCTCTTCCGGGTTTGTGATCGCGTCACAGACCGGAGAGACCAGCGCTGTAAACTGTAACCTTTTCCTGCCTTGATTTAATATAATTGATAAAACTTAATTGACGTCTCCTTGATTTATTGTTTAGTATGAGTTGCCACTTCTGAGGGAGATTTGAGAAGAGACGTGGGCTGGAGGGCGTTTCCGGGTCCGGAGGGGCCGCAGCCAGCTCGCGTCTTTAACAGGTATATGCTGCCAATTGGGCCGACTCTATATTTTTAGTAAACTGTTCTCAAATACACTGAATATGTCAACACATAATATTATAATTGGAGGTGACACAAATTGTGTGCTTTCATCCCTTGACTGTATTTCGATGGGGAAAACTACTCCAAGTCCGCTCAACGAATCAATTAATTTCTTGAATCATATGGCTTGGCTGATATATGGCATTTCCATAACCCTACTTCAAGATCATACCCATTCTTTTCCCCAGTCCGTAAGACATACTCCCAAATCTATTATTTTTTTCTTAATAAACAAATTTTGCCTTTGGTGAAGGAATGTGATTATGGGGCCATGATCATCTCAGAACATGGTACACTTATTATGAAACTGGTTATCCCGATCACAAAGTCTGTATTTCGTCCTTGGAGATTCAACCCCTTGCTTTTGTCCGAGGAAGACTTTACCAAATTTCTTATATCTGAAATTTATTTTTTTCTTGAAGTTAACCACACACCAGAAATGCCACTCTGTACTGTCTGGGAGGCGTATTAAAGGCCTACCTGAGGGGTCAAATAATTTCTAACTGTGCAAACAAAAAAGAAGGGGTTGGTACGGCTAAGACAGTTTACAGATGAGATACTACAATTAGACAGAGAACATAGCCACTCCCCCTCATGGGATCTAATGAAAAAACGTTTCTTACTTCAAACTGAATTTAATGCTTTGTCTACTCAGCAGGCAGGTTATTTAATCTCTAAATCTAGACAGGGTTAGAAGGAACACGATGAAAAGGGAAAAGCTCCATCATTAAGGGGATAAATCAACTAGGTACATAGCACAAAGTTACTTTATATGTGGACTACATGCTTTTGTATATATCAGAACCCCTTATCAGTATCCCTGAACTAATTACTTTGATTCAAAAATTCAGGAAGCTATCTGGCTATAAGGTCAACCTTCAAAAGAGTGAACTGATGCCTGTGACCTCTATAAAAAAGAAAATCTTGGACACCATACCCTTTAAAATCAGTTTTAAAAAATTTAAGTACCTTGGGATCTGGGTAACTCAAGACCATAAGAATCTCTATAAAAACCACTATCTACCTCTCATGGCAAACCTCAAACAGGACATCGCTAGATGGCAAGCCCTGCCTCTCACTCTAGGATAAACTCTGAAAAAATGAATATTCTATCTAAATTTCTATAACGGTTTCAGAATCTGCCAATCTTCCTTACAAAATCCTTCTTGACCAATATGAACAGCCAGATATCAGCGTTAATTTGGAATAAAAAAGCATCCATGAATTGCCAAGAGGGCCTTACATCTGCCCTGCAGACTTGGAGGCATGTTGCATCCGAATTTCATGCAGTCTATTGGACAACTAATATCAGAGCTCTTTTATTCTGGTTGGGTGGGGATACCCCTTCTCCTAGTTGGATGGCCTTGGCAAATACCTCAGTCAGATCCAGTTCCCCTTTTGCATTGCTCTGCTCTCAGCTCTCCTTTAAACAATCAATATCAACCTACACTTCTAATCCAATTGTGCTCTGGGCGGTTAAGATTTGGAATCAGTTCAGGAGGACATTTAACTCTACAGAGTTACGGTTATGGGCACCTGTGTCAAATTAATCATTAGTTTACTCCCTTAGTAGCTGACAGCTTTTGACACCTGGGTCTTCAAGGGAGTGCATTCACTATGTGATCTCTATGTTGATGGAAGATTTGCCTCTTTTGAACAGCTGGTACAGAAGTTTAATAGTCACAATGTAGCCTCTCAATGACGACTCAGGCACGGCTTTTTAATTTAAAACGAGCGCTTTAATGAATGAAGTGAAAACTACAGAAATAAGACAGAAGATACAGAAATAACCAAAGCTTTAGGTGCTGTACCGAGCGGAGAGTGAAGCATGCTTCATTAAAGGTGTGTACCTCGTGGCCGCTCATCATTAAAGAGGTCCTAGACAAATGTTTTTCATCTTGTGCGCTCTAAATATACATATAAAGTAATCAGAACACCATAACCGACAGATTTACAACGTATTACAACAGTTATAACTACCTTTACAGTTAACAAACTAATTGAGGCTGCCGCCCACCTCTCGTGTCTTCAGGTAACTGTAAATAGCGGGCACAGCAGATCTCGCCACTCCCTTCCGTTCACACAAATCTCGCAATAACGGTACAACAAAAATTGTCCTTTGTGACAATAAATGCATCTTATACAAAAATAAAACATATTTTCAAAGCGTGAACTAAACAAACTAAAAACAAAATATTCTAACTACTGAAAACAAATATGAACCCTTTTAACATAAATCAATCATTGTGGTGACACTTACACGCCCACCAAATCACCAATTGATTCTCAATGTGATTTTTTGATGAGTGTCAAGATTAGTCCATGTTACTGTGCGTAACAGTCTCAAGTAAAGTCACTACCTTGTGAATAGGTCTTTCTAGATATATTAACCTTGTCAGTGGTTTCACTGGTCTTTGGTTTCACCTTTCGAACCTTGTCGTCTGGACCTTCTCGAGTCTTTACTACTAGAGCACAGGTGTCAAACTCCAGGCCTCGAGGGTCGGAGTCCTGCAACTCTTAGATGCATCTCTGATGCCACACAGCTGACTCAAATAAGGAGGTCATTAGCAGGACTTTGGAGAACTTGACTGCACTGAGAAGCTAATTCAGTCATATGATTCAGGTGTGTGGCATCAGAGACACATCTAAAAGTTGCAAGACTCTGGCCCTGGAGGCCTGGAGTTTGACACCCCTGTACTAGAGCTAGTTTCCATTTACATCTTGAAGCATTATCATATTGTAGGATCACACTGTCGTTCGCTTGAAGTTTCCGTGAAAACTTTTGCCATTTCTGTCGCTTTTGGAGGTTTGTGGCCATTCTGTATCTTCTGTACTCATTACAGTGGTAGATGTGAGAAGAGGCCATACTTCTACATCCTAAAATCCATATGCCATTTGCATGCAGTCCATTCATAGTCATGCCTCTTCCTTGGTGAAGTACACGTTCATGGTAGTGTTTGATGAGGAGGGCTGACACATGAGACTTCTTGGGGAGAATTGCTGGGTGCTTGACATGATGTAAGGCTGACTGGGACAACCTTCCTCCGACCCTGAGAACATAGGACTTATCCAAGAAAGCATTTAGCTGATTTAGTCTGTTATGCTTGTGTAGAGAATTTTCCTTCTGATTTCTGTATTTCTTTAATAAAAGCTTTTCTTTGGACTGGCTTGAAAGTGAACACTTCTGTGTCTCTTCTCTCTTCTGTTATGGTTTTAGGACAACCCAGTTCGTAACGAGACCCGGAACGACACAAGGCAAAGTAATATGAAGTGACAGTGTTTATTATTTACAGTGGTATTTACAATTGTACAAGGTGGTTCCTCTGGAATCCCTGAAGGAGGAAGTAGAATGTCAGGAAGGGGTAGGCCAAGGAGTTGTCTCATATATAATACTTAATTTGTTTGTTTGGTCTTACAGATGGAGGAAGGTGGTGCATGAGGCGTTATGAAGAATCCAACAAAAGAGTCCCAGAGGAGAGGCAGGTCAGGCACGTGGCAGGAGGGCAAGGCACAAAAGCGGGAATCCAGAGCTAGGAGAGCCGCAACGAGATGACTGTAGGCACACAAAAACAAGGTAAGTATTTCTTGGTATAAACACAAGACTGGCTGGAAGCATAAGTACCATAGCAAGGGAACAATGCTCCAGTGATGAGTAGAACTCGACTGCAGCCTTAAGTAGGGTTGTAGCTCGTCAGGTGGATGACCGTCAGCTGATGGTGATTAGCGGCCATCTTGGAGCTGCAGTGAGTGCTACTCTTACATCTTCAAGATCTATTACTTGGTTTGTTCTTTATTGAACACCCTTAAACTCTTTGATGAATCGTTTGAGTCTGGCGATAGTCTTTACAGCTCTCGACCAATCAGAGAACTTCTTTAAACGCTCTAGAACTGGGTTCACTTCCTTTGACTGTACTGTGTATGTATGACCTTTACTGAGATGAAGATCTGTTTATTCAACTTCTCCCACCATTTCCTCTTTGATTGGAAGATCTTGTTCCCAAGGGGAATTGGGGTTCTTCAACCACTTTGATTCTTTTAGTTGAGTAACGGCTGAACCTTATGAGGTTTGATCAGCCGAATTTTCTGTTTTGGATGTTAACTCTTTACCAAACAACAATGTGTCACTTTAAAGTCCAGTAGAAATTAGGTAATCCTTGACAAGTGTGTTATAGAAACTTACTGTGGCTTTAAACTTAACTTTAACCACTATTATTCTATTTTAACACTGTTCCTTGTTAATTTCCACCTTATTCACACTTGGTTTGGCTGCTTGTGAGCGCTGAGCTTAGAAGATGGCGCCCCACTGTGTTCGTGCCACCATGGTACCATCATTCCGCTCCAGGCAGCTGAAGTCCTCTTTTCCTTTGTGCCACCCTGGCTGGAAGAGTTTTCACTGTAGCCTCTCAATGATGACTCAGGCACGGCTTTTTTATTTAAAACGGGCTCTTCAATGAATGCTGTGAAAACTACAGAAATAAGACAGAAAATACAGAAATAACCAAAGCTTTAGGTGCTGTACCGAGCGGAGAGTGAAGAATGCTTCATCAAAGGTGTGGACCTCGTGGCCGCTCATCATTAAAGAGGTCCTAGACAATTTTCATCTTGTGCACTCTAAATAAACATTTAAAGTAATCAGAACACCATAACCGACAGATTTACAACGTATTACAACAGTTATAAATACCTTTATCATTAACAAACTAATCGAGGCTGCCGCCCACCTCTCGTGTCTTCAGGTAACTGTAAATAGCGGGCACAGCAGATCTCGCCACGCCCTTCCATTCACACAAATCTCGCGATAACGGTACAACAAAAATAGTCCTTTGTGACAGAATAAATGCATCTCATACAAAAATAAAACATATTTTCAAAGTGTGAACAAAACAAACTAAAAACAAAATATTCTAACAACTGAAAACAAATATGAACCCTTTTAATGCATAAATTAATCATTGTGGTGACACTTACACATAAGTCACAGTTTTTTAGATATTTGCAGCTGAGACACTTTGTGAGATCTCACTTTTATTGTTTTCCTTTGTACCCCTGTATACATTTTGTGGCTGAGATTTTGATATGCAGGTCTGATACTAAGGGGGCCTTTAGTAAGATTTATACATTACTCAGTTTATATCATAAGTCCAGTTTGGACTCCCTTAAACTGAAATGGGAAACATACTTGGCGGAACCCATATCAGATGCAACTTGAGGAATGATTATT